CGTTGCCAAATTATTTCCTATTTATCGTCGCTTAAGTTTCTTATATTGCCGATATAATATAGAAAAAATTACTTATTCAGTTATTTGCACAAGAGATGCTCAACTACTTTAGTACTAAGTGGTGTATAAGACACTAAAATATGATATGATAATCAAAATACAATTATTAAGTTGTGTAAACGTTTTAACTACTATTTTTTTAAATGTCGACATATGGATAGAAATTTCACACGGACATTTGTTAAATTAAAATTTAATTAAAATCATCCAAAAGCTGTTTACACGGCTTGCAACTACTTTTCTGAAAGAACCAATTCGAAACAAAAAATTTTATTCGTACTGAATTATCCGCAGTAAATTATTATTTTCGTTAGTTTCGCAGTTATATTTTCATACACACGGTTTGATAGTGATTATTATGCATAAAAATCAGTCCTTTTCGACCGACTGTTTTTTTTTTAACTAGGGAACTTGATGCTAATTCGGATATTTTCTCTATTCTTGTTACTTTCAGGAGGGCTCCTAATACGTTGCGCTACTATTTCACATTTAATATAATTAAAAAAGAAATGCTTACCCAGCAATTAGGTAAAAAGTTGCTCAACTACCTTAGTCCTACACTTAAATTCAAAAAGATATCATATGATAATCAACATACAATTATTAAGCCATGTTATACGTAAAATTTTTAAAACGTTTTAAAACTCTAGTAAAATTTCGATGGATCATTGGAAGAATTCAATATGTATTTTTTTTATTTTTGAGGACCTGCTATTTTTCACAACCTTGACTGGAACATTTGTTAAATTAACATTTAATTAAAGTCCTCCAAAAGGTTCGGGGTCTTTTAATCAGCACCGAATTTGTTTCTCGCATTTGTCAATAATGTCAATATTAGTTTATAGTGTATACTGACGGTGACAGTTGAATTAATAATTTAGGATTAATTGTTTTGGAACATTTTGTAAAAACTTCACACCTTTATCTACAGCTTTAGCGTTCAGTTGGGTATAAAAATGTTTTTTGACTATATATATATATATATATATATATATATATATATATATATATATATATATATATATATATATATATATATATTCACGTATTGATTCACGGATGGAAAAATGTGATGACACTATACTCCGGGATATCATCCGTTCGTTCGTTGAACTCCGACTGGAATCCTGCATCCGACTGGAATCCTGCAAATCCTGCATCCGACTGGAATCCTGCAGACGTTTCGCCAAAATCTCACTTGGCATCTTCAATGCTCGCGCTCCGAAAACACTTCGAACACTGGGCAGTGTTCGAAGTGTTTTCGGAGCGCGAGCATTGAAGATGCCAAGTGAGATTTTGGCGAAACGTCTGCAGGATTCCAGTCGGATGCAGGATTTGCAGGATTCCAGTCGGATGCAGGATTCCAGTCGGAGTTCAACGAACGAACGGATGATATCCCGGAGTATAGTGTCATCATATATATATATATATATATATATATATATATATATATATATATATATATATATATATATATATATATATATATATATATATATATATATATATATATATATATATATATATATATATGATGACACTATATTCCAGGATATCATCCGTTCGCTTGTTGAACTCCGACTGGAATCCTGCAGACGTTTCGCCAAAATCTCACTTGGCATCTTCAATGCTCGCGCTCCGAAAGTGTTCGAAGTATTTTCGGAGCGCGAGCATTGAAGATGCCAAGTGAAATTTTGGCGAAACGTCTGCAGGATTCCAGTCGGAGTTCAACAAGCGAACGGATGATATCCCGGAATATAGTGTCATCACATTTTTCCATCCGTGAATCAATACGTGAGAATATATATATATATATATATATATATATATATATATATATATATATATATATATATATATATATATATATATATATATATATATATATATATATATATATATATATATATATATATATATATATATATATATATATATAAGAATTATAATGTTTATTTAATCGTCAATTTTCAAAATCCGATTACAACATTTTTCAAGTCTCTAAGTGGATGTGACAAAAAAAATCATAGAATAGGTGATGCATTAACGCACCACTGGGACAAAATGAGTTAACGCTTGTTGCATATTTCTGCATTCTTGTTACTTTCAGGAGGACTCTATACATTCCGTGTTTTGTCAAACATCCTATATAGTTTAGAAAGAATTGCTTGTTCAGTTCTTTGATAAAGAGTGGTTCAACAACTTCTCAAATTCGAGATGATATGATAATCAACTAACCATAAGGTTCTGAAAAGGTTTTGCGATAATTTTAAGAGTATATCTCATGTAATAGGATTTTGATGAATCGTTAGTGGGTTTCGATACTATTTTCTTTTTCTGGAGCGTCCATTATATATTAAAATTTAAACATAGCAATAGAATTTTGACTGGGACATTTGTTACAATAAAATTTAATTAAAATCGTCCAAAAGCTATTTGCACGGTTTGCCCCTATCTCGGGGTCTTTTAATCAGTACCGAATTTATTTCTCGAATATGTACATAATGTCAATATTAGTGTATACTGGCTGAGACAAGTCGAATTAATAATTTACGAAAAATTGACTTGGAACGCTTCGTAAAATACTTATACCTCTATCTTCCACGTGAGTGTTCAGTTGCTTATAAAAATGTTATTCGAGTTGATCAAAAGATTTTTTAGATTCTTAGTTTGTAAACTTTTGTTTATATATCCTTATGCTATGAACAATCGAAAATTTGAGAACTGTGGGATCTTACTAGATATTTTCTTTTACGTCAGTGTGATATCAGCACATTTCTATACTTGTTTTTGGAATCAGATCAAAGTATTGCACTTGATCGCATTAATTTTAGTAACAACCGTGTTTGTGATGGTGTCTTATTTGTCACTTACGAAACGTAATGAAATGATCACATTCACTCAACACATGAAATTTTTAGAAAGTCGCCTATTAACCAGACAATCGAGATTGAAGGAGATGCTCAGCTGCAAAAGTATTCTAAAATTGTGCATATTTGTCATCTGGCTTCTTGAAATTTATGACGTATATGTAAGAGTTCAGGATCGTGACTGCCAATTACTGATGTACGTTATTTTAACTAAACAGGCTTCTACAATTTTTGTGGTGATTTTTCTATTAATCAAGATTTCAACATTACTGAAGGAATTTAATAATCGATTGGAGAATGTCTCATACATACATCATATTAGGGCTTTGATGCAGATGTATTGTAGTATCTGCAGAAGGATTAATGAATACGAGTTAATATTTGGAAATTTGCTGTGCGGAGTCGAACTGTACATTTTAACAAGTACGTTGTGGATATATCTGAATTTTTCAATATACGTTTCAAGGGTACAAGTATTGTCGTTCATAAAGTTATCCTTGGTAAGTTTAGATTTTCACAATATACATTTCAATAGAAAACTGCAGATAGTGGTTACTAGAGTTTTAAAGAAATGTCATGTTATATATTTTCTTGTTACTTACTTACCCTTGCAACTCCCGAAAAGTCGTTGCACTTGTGTCATATGGTGGCTAGAATTTAGAAAAAACTGCTTATTCAGTAATTTAATTTTAACGATCTCAACTTTAGTACTAGGTAATATATTAATCGATGTTATTTCTAAGATTGTGAAAAAGGTTTTGAAGCAATATAGATTGCCACCTGTAATAAAACTTAATTGGATTATTTCATGAAACTTTGACAGAAACATTTGTTAAAATTAAATGTCAATAATGTCAACACACGTTTATAGTGTATACTCACGCCGTTATCTACAGCTTGAAGGTTCAATTGGGTATTAAAATGCTTTTAGAGTCGACCAAAGGTTTTTTTAGATTTCTAGTTTGTGAACCATACAGTATTTAAATCCTGTAGAGTGCTATTAGATGTTGTTTTATTCATTATTCATATCAGTGTACATGAATTTTTGTTATGGGAATATAGGATTTCAGTTCCCCATTAAACAATGGAGTTCAGTAATTTCCACGATATTTGCGATGGTGTCCTACCTATTAATTATATGGCGCAAAGAAATGATGACATTCATTGAAAACATGAAGTTCTTAGAATGACGATTTTTAAAAAATCCAATTATGATTTCATTTACGAGACTAATGGAAAATTATTCGTACGATTGATTTTGCTACTAGAATTTTACCCAATTTTTTTCATAATTACGGATCTCTTCCCAAAACTTTGAAAAAGAAAGAAAGAAACAAACCTTTATCCCGCTCGCGGTTATTGTTTTCGCGCTTTCGCATAAAACGTCAAAAAATAATAAAACTAGTTAATCAAGATTATTTTAAATTAATGTGTGCTGTTTAATAAGTCAGTGGCTGTTATATTACTTGAAAAAATCAAATGTTAGAAGAGACTTTATTCATTTATTCATCCATCATTATGCAGTACGTATTTAGCATTACATTTATATTACTTTAACATTTTTTATTTTTAAAACACAATAAAATGTAATATTAAAAACTAATAATTTTGCTATTCTAGGAAAATTAGCGAAATTAACACATTAGTCACTAAGGCCAAAATTACGTTTCAAATCCAATAATACTTGAAATGACTCTATTAGTTTACCTACTCCATTCCTGAAAAAATATTTTTTCCTTCACTAGTTTTATGATTTGTCACTTAAAATACTCAGCTCTATTCTCGGGAAAAGGGAAATTCCACTAAAAATTCTTGGAGTATATTTAATCATCACGAGAAATGGTCCTTGCAATCCAGGTTAAATTTTTATTTTTTAGGTTTTATAGATTTTTATACCCATTGACTGAAGAGATTAATTTTGTTAACGGTAATTAATTTTGATAACCTGGGACAACCCATTTGGTGGGAAATAGATTTGCTAGCCGCCTTAACCTTTTTAAAAATATTTAATTAAAAAGTAGACTTCATAAAATGATGAGGAAGGCACCAAACACTCGATATATTTTGCAGGTTGAAGCGTTGATGTTGTCCTTTTACGGCCAGAAGATCGCCGACGAAGGTAAACGAACGGTCCGCATTTGCTACAGAAGGCTTGGACGTATGCAGTATTTTCAAGTTGACAATCCATTCTTCCTATTAGCCCAACACGCCACCTCTGAAAATCTTCATATAACGGCTGCTGGATTCTTTCCCATCGACAACAGCACATTGGTTTTCATCGCCATGACGGTTTGCACTTATTTCATTACTGCTTTGCAAGTCCTGTAATACGTTAACTGAGACGGGTACATAAGTTTTTGGAAGAAACTTAACTGGTTTAATAACCAAAATAATAATTTTACTTAAATCTATATATTAATAGTTCACGTTCGAAGTTCATTTAGCGTCAACGCTAAAATATTTTGAAACTACTGGTTTGAGTTATTTATTTTATTTTCTAATAATTTTGTTTAGAGCTTGATAGAAGGTATTTTGTTTTTGAATATTTCAAAAAATATTTATTTATATTGCGATCGAAAGCCAAAAATAGGGAGAAAAAATTTAATTTTGTCATTTGTCGATATTATTAAGGGTTTTCGTAATAAACTCCGAATATATTTTTTTTCTGAAAACTTATGTTTCATACTTTATAACACTTGAATCAACAAATTTATCAAATCAACCAGACCGCTAACTAAAAGGCAATGTCTTTAATATTTTTTTAGTGATTGCAACCTCTATTATAGTCGTCACCATATGTTTTAGTTGCACAAAAACCTCACAGGCGTTAAAATTGATGTTTAAGTAGTTAATATCCGACTAATGAGTCAGTTGGCACTTATTTGAATGATAATAGTTTTTACAAAACTTCTAGATTCCTCCTGCGTCCGTTTTTGAACTTGCTCTCGTTCCGCCAATCATCCTGTTTGCTTCTTCAGAGCTTGACTGAAACTGGCTCGCATTTTACTCTGTACCTGCTTATATATGTTTGATGGAGGCAGCGCTATATGACGGCCATAAACACCTTCGGATAGATTTCTATAGACTCTCGGATTTTTCGTTGGTAGAAGAATTGATTACATGCAAGAATTTTAGTTTTATAGAATATATTTTTATGTCCGGTCCATAGTCACATCACCTTAATGCCCAAAAATCATCGGTTATCAAGTCTCTTGTTTACAGAGCCGTAAAACTATCTCAGCCCGAGTCACTGAACCCAGAATTAAAACACCTCACCTCTGCTCTCCCCCTAATAATTTTCACGTTAAAGATATTAAGCGTTCCATCACAAAATGTACTTCACCACAACCTTCCAATTGCAATGAGGCCGAAAACAATCCTACACTTGCCACTTTGGCCCTTCCTTATATTCAAAACATCACACATCAAAATTTCTAAAGAAATATAACGTCAAAACCAGATTTACCACTTGTTCAAAAATCTTTCAACATCTTCCATCCGTCAAAGACAAAATTCCATTTGTCACGCCAGGAGTTTACAGGATTAAATGCATATGCGGCAAAGAATACATTGGAGAGTCCGGACGAAAAATATGAACTAGGCTCAAAGAATATGAGAGAGCCTTAGGACTAAGACAAATAAACTCATCAGCAGTTTCCGAACACAATCACGAAGCCGGACATAAAATTTTATTCAATAAAACTAAAATTCTTGCATGTAATCAATTTTTCTACCAACCAAAAATCTGAGAATCTATAGAAATCTATAAGCAACCCAACAATCTTAACCGCGACACAGGTCTTTACTTGGGAATCAGACTCCACAAAGCCTGTTACCCTTCATGACTCAAAAATTCCTCGTCTCTAGAGACTCCCAAAGATTCACAAACCAGGTTACCCCTTCGACCGGATTAAAAATATCAACTAGACTCAAAGAACACGAAAGAGCCTTACGACTAAGACAAATAAACTAATCAGCTGTTGCCGAACACACTTATGAAACCGGACATAAAATTTTATTCCATAAAACTAAAATTCTTGCATGTGATCAGTTCTTCTAAAAACGAAAAATCCGAGAATCTATGGAAATCTATTAACCGTGACTTAGGTCTCTACCTGTCACCAATATGTCATCCGAGACGGTGTTTATGCCTCTCATTTACTTCCTCAAACAATATATAAGCAGGTACAGAATAAAATGCGAGCCAGTTTCAGATAAGTTCCTGAAGAAGCCAACAGGATGTTTGGCGAAACGTTAGCAAGCTCGAGTCAACAAAAACCGACGCAGGAGGAATCTAGAAGTTTTGTAAATAGTAGTACAGCAGTATGTGGAAGTTTTTTTGAAAAATGATAATAATGTTTCCAAATGTTTTGTTAATTGTTGTAACTTATCGTTAGCAATAGTTTCCTAAAAGAAAACAATAATTTGTGAAATAGACAACTGAGCGTGTGTTCATTACAAACCTTGTTATCGAATATTCATAATTAAATTAGGCACAACGTAACACACACACAAGGCCCGGAATTCATTCACTCCCGCTTGGACATAAAAAGCAAATTCTATACAATACGCTTTATCGGCAACGTTATTGGCGTAAATCAAATTAAACTGCACTTTGGCGCTTTTAACGACTGCCACTTTAAAAGTTTCATTAAAATTATGCCAGATAAATAACCAAGTTAAAATTTTCTTGAATATTTGAAATGCTAACGAGCCATCTGAAATCTGACTGGTTTGCGTTTTAAACTCTCGTTACGTCATAAAAGTTTATTTTTTCTATATTTGGATCATTCTCACCATATTTTAACCGTCGGTTGGGACCCGTCGTACTCCGTAAATTTTACCCAATTTTTTTCGTAATTACCGATCTCTACCAAAAACATTGAAAAAGGGATTTTAATTTTGAATTTTATAACTCGGTAATCCCACACCTGACATCAGAAACGTTTACGCCATTTGCAGTTATTATTCTCTCGCTATTCTCTAAATTGGCAGGGGACCAAGCGAACTTGAATCCACTTACGCATAAAACGTCAAAAAATGCCAATAAAACTATTTAATCAATATTATTTTTACTTAATGTGTGCTTTTTAATAACTCAGTGATTTTTATATTACTTGAAAAATCACATGCCAGAAGACACTTTATTCCTTTATTCATCGATCATTATGAAGCACGTATTTAACGTTACATTTTTATTTTTTTAACATTTTTATTTAACACAATAAAATTTAATATTGAAAAGTAATTAATACCTATAATGAAATCATTACTTTAGAGTACGTCAAAAAAATTTTGCTATTCCATCAGCGAAATTCCTGGGAAAATGATAACATAATTAGACAAAAGTAGTAGTATTAGTCTTAATTTTAATTACCTACGCCATTTCTGGAAAAATGTTTTTTCTTTTACTAGTTTTATGAGCGCAATCCCACAAAAAATTCCTAGAATTATGGCAATAAATGGTTATTGTAATCCAAAAATTCCTAGGTTGAATTTTTATTTTTTAGATTTTATAGATTTTTTTACCACTTATCATCATCCATTTAGTGAAAAATTGAATTTTGTTAGCTCTAATTAAATTTAATAACCTGGGACAACCCAAAAATGGAATGGAATGGAAATGGATATTTTTCAACACCATATTTTATTACCTATCAGATTGTGCCCAATTCCTGGAAAAAGGGCAATTCATAAAAAATTTCCTAAATTATAATTAATCAAGAAGACCAAAAGTTCGTTTCAAATCCAAAAATAGCGGGAATTAATGTTTTTATTTTTCACTAGTTTTATAATTTGTTCATGGCGAAAAATGATTCGTTGTAACCAAAAGCTTTAATTTTTATTACCCATGCTTATTTATTGAAAAATGGTTATATTTTAACACTGAATTCATTTTCATAATCTGCCACAACCCATTTACTGGAATATTTTTTAACCCAAAGATACCCAGCTTTAATTTTTATTACCTATTTATTGAAAATTCACATATTTTAACATAGGCCTAATTTTTGGGACAACCCAATTACTGGGAAATGATTTGCTCATGGCAAAAAATGATTGAATGTAACCCACAGATACCTAGCTTTTATTTATATTAACTATTTACTGAAAATCAATAAATTTTAACATAGCCCTAATTTTTATAACTTGAGACAACCCTTTTACTGGGAAATGGATATTTTTTAATACTAGTTTTATGATTTGCTCATGGTGAAAAATCATTGGTTGTAACCCAACTATACATAGCTTTTATTCTTATAACCTATTTACTGAAAATTGATATATTTTAACACAAGCCTAATTTTTAAAAGTTGGGACAACCCATTTACCGGGAAATACAGATTTTTTAATACTAGTTTTGTGATTTGCTCATGGCGAAAAATTATTGGTTGAAACCCAACTATACCTAGCTTTTGTTTTTATGACCTAATTACTGAAAATTTATATATTTTAACATAAGCCTAATTTTTAAAAATTGGCACAACCCATTTACCGGAAAATACATATTTTTTAATACTAGTTTTATGATTTGCTCATGGCGAACAATCATTGGTTGTAACCCAACTATACCTAGCTTTTATTTTTATGACCTATTTACTGAAAATTTATATATGTTAACATAAGCCTAATTTTTAAAAATTGGGACAACCCATTTACCGAGAAATGGACATTTTTTAATACTAGTTTTATGATTTGCTCATGGCGAAAAATGATTCGTTGTAACCTAAAGATACCTAGCTTTTATTTATATAACCTATTTACTGAAAATTGATATATTTTAACATTGGCCTAATTTTTAAGTAAGCTACTGAGAAATTTTCACTTTTTGATACGATGTACATAAACCAGACACTGGAGCTAAAACTAATTGTCCTATGGTCAATTGCGAATGCATTATTAAAGATTTTCTCAATAAACGACTATTGAATTTAGGTTCGAAACTTATTTAACTGAACTACAGTTTGAATATTGTGATGAATGGAAGCAGGTGCAGTGTTCGTGTGTTGTCAATTTATACTGACCTTAGATAAATTGTTGGGTGTAATGTGGCACAACAAGGGTCCTCTATGTTTATCACAAGATTGCATGTTCGATGTCAACATTAAAATAATCAGAATTCTTGATTCGTTGCAGATACGAACAAAACATTTCGTTCGTCGTGTTATTTCTATAAAAATCCACGGCCCGTGTAATTTTGAATACTTATTCAGAGATAAATTTGTTCGGCGAATTAATAACATATAATTATTTTCATCTGGGTTAACTCGCGTAGTCTGCTATGGAAATGTTTGCCAGTGAGAATTTACATGCAAATGAGCAAATCA